ATATTCAATGTTTATATATGTTATTAGATTGTCTTTTGACTTTCAAACTTTATGGTTGATGTAAAATTAAAAAAAAATATTGATGAATTGAAAAAAAATTCCTTGGGAACAGTCAAAAAATATTGTTATGTAAATTTTAGGAGAAAATAGCTTTTTTTATTTTTTATGATAAACTTACAACAATTACATTGAGGAATATTATTTTGCTTAATAGACAAGATGATATAAATAAATCACATTCCTCCCAAATGGGAGCTTCATTTTTGGTTTTCTCTTTGAATGGGTAAGACTGTGTCTGGTATTAATTCAATTTCCGACAAGCCTGGGTTAATTAATTAATTTATACACATATTTTTGTGTTGAGATTAAAATCTTTGCCTCTTTGCCTCTTTGTACTTTGATACCTTAACAAGTGATAGTGGTGACAGTAGTAATGATGACGATGATACTGGCGTTACAATCTTGACAAGAGTAAGAAATTTCCAATAAAAATCACAATAATTATTTAAATCATTATGAAATTTGTCAAGTCGAATTGGTATGTAGATATATTGGTGACCAGTGGATTAACGAAAACCGATGAATAGACTTGAAGGCCATGATGTATTGATTACAGGTTCCATAGATCAAACAGTTCGTGTATGGAATCTGCCAGTAATTTATTAAAATACGTTGTTAAATAGAATTTTCTTTTAATAATTGTGTTCCATATTTGACCACTTTTGGTTCTTGTCTTTGCCCTTTCCTGGTATATATTAATATAGGTATGTCAGTGACAAACAATGAAGCACTTTCATCTTTTGATTCAAATTTTATTTTTTAAACTTTCAGATTTTAAAAGTATTTTTTTCAAAAAAGAAAAGAACCTATACTTAAAATGTGGTAAAAATTTTGCCTTAATAATGAATGATATATGATCTAATCCAAGGATTTACTAACAAGCAAGCAGGGTTATTAATTAAATGTTTACTGTATATATGAGCTACATACAACTTTAGGAGATTTAAGTTTAAAGATAAACCATTCTATTTTATTAAGCGTGACTGTGAGCATTTATTTTATCGTTAAAATAATGCGAGTTCCAATGTTTATTTAGAGGGCCACTAACTTATGCTATTGCGAGTTCAATTTTGAGTGGTTTAGTGATCCATAATATGTCTATTCTGTGGCCAACACACTCTCTCTTTATCGCCCTTTCTGATATCAAAATACTTTGCAGATGCAAATAACATTTTTTCACCACTTGATATTTTTATTTTATTTTCCATTGATACAATGATCTTTTAAAAGGAAAGCCAAAGTTCAGACAATATATATTACAGAAAGACTGGAATAAACTGATGCTCTCTCTATAACCTATGTGTACTTTATGAGGTCATTGTCACGTTTGAAAGATTTACCCTATAAAAAGTAAGTTAAGCATGTAAAATAAGCTTCTTTCATGTCTCTTTATCATCGTCATCGCATGTTTTTAAGTCAGCAACCTAAAATAGAATGCTTGTTGATAGAAAGTTATTAAGATAAAAAATCGACTTTACATTTCTTAACATATATATATATATATACCTTTACCATATCAACGATTAAATCTTTAACGGTCACCGGACATTGTTTCAAGTGCCACACACACACATATCATTATTTTCATAATAATATAGTAAAGACAAACTTTATGATTGAAGCAAAGTAAAACTGCACCGTCAAAACTTTCTAATGAATATCTCTATGTAAATCTATGGCTACTCAAAAATGATATTATATTTTTTACTTCAAAGCAAGATTTTCTTTTCAATTTTATTATGAATGCTTTGAAAATTGGGTGAGAAGGTGTAAAATAATACGAGTATCACTTTATGTGGAGTGTACGTTATTGAAAAAAACACAATTATTTACATAAATGCATGAAGGTGACTAATTTTCTGCGACCGTTAATTCCGTTGTATTCTTTTATTTTGTGGTGGACCTTCGGTTCTTCATGCACATCCTTTGGCAGTAATTTAACAAAGTCATTGTTGTTGTAAAAAACTTTTTAGTTGATGTATTACTCGATTGTTGTTAAATTCACGCACGCGAAATTCAAATTAGCCAATCGGCCCCAAAAATATAGGACAATTCTACAGATAAACAGAAAAACCATTATAGTTCATATCATCAAAGCCATCGAGGAATAGTAACTACTGCTTCTTCACACCTTCTTCTCGTCGTCGTTGTTATTATCGACTTTGTCAGTATTAATCTCATCACCAAAGATATAAATTAATTAATCCAAGTGATATTCTTCCTGATAAACCTATCGAGAAACTTCTTTTGACAATAATTGGTTTGTTTCTCGTGTAAGTTTTCTACGCTTTTTGAGTCTTGATGTTGTTTTCAATATTATTTCCACTCATTTTTTCGATTTAAACCCAAGAAAAAATGTATTTATTAATTTCACGTGGAACAAATTGAAGAGACTTAAAAATCCCAAACTAAATTTTATTAAATCTAACATTTAATCTTAGCAATCAGATTCAATAGAAATATTCTTCTCCTCCCATGCAAAGGATCCAGCGCACGTTTGTATGTGAATCACGCCAACACCAAGATGCCCACTATACACGGGATAGACTGTTAAAGGCTCTTCAAATACTTGTAATCATTATGGATGTTCGTAATGTTTTACAAATATTTAAAATTTAAATTTATTGTCAATATTTTTTTTCTTTATTTGGCATAATCAAAAAAGCATTTGAAATAATTACAAATATTAATATTACGAGTAAGAGTATTCGAAGCATTCATTCAAATAGGAGTAACTATTACTATCATTTCAATTATGGTGTTGATCCATTCGTTTGATTGATTCGTCCCATGATTTATTTATTACATAACTTAAGGTGACATATTTCATTATTCCACCAAATAAACAAAATCAACCGAGAGGTCATGTTGAAGAAACTGCACTAAAGGGATTAAAATCTTTAAACATTTGAAACATCTGTTGAAGTAGCTAAACCACCAATCACATATAATTTATTTTGAAGAACTGCAATACTAGCTACATACCCGCTGCCTGTTGGTAAAAAATCCTTTATTTAGTTGTAAAAAAATCAACAATAATAAATTACTATTATATAATAATTAAAAAAAAAGTTTTTTATGTATTGCAATTTTATTACCAATTCATTTTTTTATCTATTTAATAAAAGTTACCTCGGCTTTTGAACGATAAAGGTTTTTATCAAATCGATTTTATTTTTTTTTATGCGACATATTTAATATATATGCATATTAATATATAGATCAAGTTCTAATTTTCTGATAGTTAATTTCTATATGTCCATTGACATTATCTGAATCCTTGATTCCTCAAGTATTTCTTCAACATTATACGAGACTTCTCCTATTTTCCAGTTATATAATCAATCAATCAATCAATTCATTATATATTATTATATAAATCATACCATAGTATTTCCTATGATATTAGAAGATACCTTGTAATTCAGCTTGTCTCTTTAATTTTAAAATTTGATCTTTGTCATATTCTATAGCTGATAATTGACATTGTTTTATTGTTCCTACATTTTTATAAAAATCTTGTTACTACCATATATCTTTTGCTTTCAATAAAATAAATAAAATTCCAATTAACAGAAAAAGCTCAAACCTCCTATATGTAGAATTCGTAAAAGACAATTTTTAGATTTAACTTGTGTAATAAAAGTTAATGCACACCAAACCATATGATAGTGATCTCGAGAAATTCTTAACACGCCAATATTTGTGTGTGATGAAAAATATTTTACTATGTATATTAAAAAAAAATAAAGCAAAATTTTACTTTTTAACAAAAAAAAAACCACCCCAAAGAACAAGTAACAAACGGAGAAATATATATTGTATTGACGATACCACTGATTGAAACAGACACGCAACCAGTTCCATAGTCACCAAAATTATTCTGAATAGATTCCTTCACTACATTATAAATATCTTTAGAGGATATTCCTTCTGATGCTGATTGAGAGGAATAAGGCGAGGTAATGGTTTGTTGTTGGAGTGAGTCTTCAAAAATTAATTCAAAAAGAAGCCATCGGTTTTTTAATCTGACCATTATTATTATTCAAAATAACCATCAAGTGAATACAAGTTAAATTTTGAGAAAATCACGTGAAAGTCCCATGTTAGTAAAAACATTTCCTCAATTCCTCAATTAAATTTTTAATATGAATTTAAACATAAATACATCTGATATATTTTGGGGTAAAAATTTCTCTCTTTTTTTTTTTATAGGGAGTCATTATAGCCAATGGTTATATAACCAGTTACTTAAAACAATAACGTTTTATTACTATCGAAGGCAAAAATCTGGTACCAGTTATATAACCACTGGCTACTCCCTTTTATATACTTATCAAGAAGAAAACATAACTAAATCATATGTGTATAGATTGTGTGTTAAAAGATGATCAACCCGTGAATATATCTGCTAACGATTATCGTTATATAGTCAAATTAACGATGGTATGTTGATCTGTTTTTTCTCTAATAAAATTATTTTTTTTTTAAAAATAAATCAATTTGTCTTTTTAAAGGCTTCTTTAGGCAGTGATATGGTAAGCCCTGGACGTACCACTTTGTTTATTCAATATAAAAATGGAAGTCATATCCCACTATGTCATTTAACTCCAGGGATTGTATGTATTTTTTCTTTTTAAAATCTTATATAATTAAAATTATAATGATAAATCTGAAGCCATTTTTATAAAGTGTGAACAACAATCATTAGATACTGCTTTCGTGGGTAATCGCATTCTCACCGTCTATAAAAGAGGAAGAAAGTAATAAGTTCACTATTTTCTATTTGTTACATTATTTTTTGCGCATAATGTTAAACACAATGTTTTTTTTTAAATAGTGAAGTGCATTTGACTGGTTATTCACAAAGAAAATCATAGTCATTTCTTGATGACACAGAAACGAAACATCTTGTAATTTTTTTAAACCTTTGATGAAATTAATTTTAATTTTGAAATATACCTCGAATCTTTTACCTATTACTATATAATCTTTTTATTAAAAGACAAAGTTTTGGGTGGAAAAATATCACGTGAAAAATCACAGTTAAAAGGTCACGCCCCATATTAATATAATAATAAAGTTTGGTTGGTGGACTTAGATAAACGCTACATGATTTTTAAATTTACTCTTTTTTTCTTTACATAATAATTAATCAATTTATAAAATAATCAAAGTATGAATGTAAATACAAACAGATTTTGGGGTAAAAGTCCTTTTTTTATAGAGGCACTATTCATAACCGGTTACTTCAAATAGAAAAAAAAATACTCGCTTAAATTTTTTATAATGTTATTAGCAAAAAAACTGATAACCAGCTATGACTCCATTTTTATATTATAATCAAAAGAAAAAATAATATTAATATATAATCTTTATTAAATCGTATATGTATGTATAGATTTTGTATTAGAAAATGATCAACCTCTGAATGTATCTCTTGAGTATGATTATGAAGTCAAATTAACGATGGTATGTTGTTGATCAGTTTTTTCTCTAATAAATAAATTTTTTTAAAAAATAAATCAATTTGTCTTTTTAAAGGCTTCGTTAGGCAGTGATATGGTAAGTCCCGGACGTACTACTTTGTTTATTCAACATAACAATGGAAGACATATCCCACTATGTCATTTAACTCCAGGGATTGTATGTGTTTTTTCATTTTAAAATTTTATATAATTAAAATTATAATGATAACCTGAAGTCATTTTTTATAAAGTGTGAACAACAATCGTTGGATACTACTTTTCATGGATCTAACTGCACTGTCACTTTCTATAAAAGAGGAAGAAAGTAATTACTTTAATATTTTTTTATGTTACATTATTATTTTTTGCAGATAATGTTAATATACACAATTTTCTTTACACTTGATATTAAATAGTACGGTGTACTTGACCGGTTATTCAAAATACAAGCCGTAATTTTAAAAATCTCTGATCAAATTAAATACATGTATACACTGTATATTTCGCTTGTGAAAATATATGCCTCGAATCTTTACATTTAATTTTTTATTTTATCTTTTTTCTCCTTCTATATTTGTTGAATTAGTTTTTCTTTGATATTTATAACCTAAAAAACTAATTTAAAGTAAAATAACCAAACAATAATGATCAATTTCAGTAATTACAATTTTAAAACCCCCATTAAAATTGTAGTATAAACCTTTTGCACCTATACTCCGAATATGGTTTCTAATGAGATATATATAGAAATGTTCTTAATAACTTTATTTTAAAACCGATTTGACGTCGGTTTTAAATCTGGCGGCTGATAAATATAAAACACACGGACAATCTTTTTTATAGATTTGCTGATCAATTTCCTCGGATATCACGGCCCACTCTATAAAATTTCAGGAATCTCTTCCAATGATAGATACATTATTAGTTTAATTTTATTTCTATAAATATATATTTAAATACATTACACAATTTTTAGATATGATGTCTTTTATTTTTTGCCATACATCCTATCAATATCAGCTTGATATTTTTGCTGAAGATCTTTGCGTTTAATTTTTTGTGCTGATGTCAAAAGTCCCTATTTTTTAAAAAAATAAAAGCACAATAATATAAATATAACAAACAATTAATAACATTAACAATAATATGATTATGATATTTTTTTCTTAAATTACAAAAATTCAGCAGGTTTGAAATCTGCTTTCTTTACCTTATCAAGACAAGCTTTGAAGTACCGAATTGGTTATTTCTTGATTTCGGCACAACTCTTCAAAATCTGTTTCAACTATGTTTTTTTCTGTTGCAAGTTTTCTGATTTGTGCTATAATAGGAAAAATTAAAGCTACAGGGCGTGACTGATACGAGTTGGCACAAACACAAATATTGGATACAAATAAGGTTGATTTGTAAACTGATTCCAATTTTTCAAGTGCAATGTATTCACCATATGCTAATTTCACTAAATTTTTCTTTCTGTCAATAATTGGTAGGCTTCCATTTGGTTTCCATTCTCCAATGTCTCCTGCTTGTAGCCATCCATCTTCTGTAAATGTTTCTTTTCATTTTTATAATAGCCTCGTGTAACCACGGGTCCACTTCTCCTTGTGGATTAGGAGTATTTGTAGATATAACCAGCATCTGGTACGTCAACTAATTTTACTTCTATACAAGGTACTGGTGTTCCAACACTGCCATAAGTAAATTGCTCTGGCATAAGAATTGTAGTCGTACTAAAAACAACACAATATAGAATTATTAACCAGAATTGATAATAATGATATTATTATTATTATTGATTAATATTAATTAATTAATTAACTGATTAAACTTACCCACAAGATTCGGTCATACCATAACCTTGCAATATTGGACATAAAGTTATACATAAAAATTCCTGTGTTTCCTTAGAAATGGGTGACAACGCGAATCTCAATCTTCCACCAGTTTGTTCTTTTATCTTATTGAATACCAAGACGTCAAAAGGTCTAGTGTGTAATCCTTTATCCATTAACCAACCTTTAGTGTGAAAGCTATATCAAAAATTTTTTGTAAAGTTGGACTGCCTCCATGAATTTTTGAAAGAACGCCTTTCCTAATCGATTCCCACACTGCTGGTACACCAGTCATTAAACTAGGTTTCAATCACCAAGACAATTTCTTGCTGATGCATCTGTCAAAGTATGAATTGTTCCATAACACCCCACCAAATACATACATGTTCCACAACGAATTCAAGAACATGAGCAAGTGGAAGGTATGCAAGAAATGAATCATCATCTTGAACTAACTAAATATGAGAGGATTAATAGAATAAGAAAATATATCAATTTTTTTAAAAAAAAAAATCAAAAAAAAAGAACATACTTGCTGCAACGAGATTAGCATGAGTTAGCATGACACCTTTTGGATTACCAGTGAATCCAGAAGTGTACATAATACAACATATGTCTTGTGGTTGTGGTGAATTTGGATTTATTGAATGATCTTTGCCTAACTCTTTAAGTTCTTTCAATGTTAAGAGTCTAAAATCTGGATGAACATTTGCAAGATTGTCCCCTTTGCATCACCATTATAAATTATAAATTTAAGAGTTGGGCAGCAACCTTTTCAACCATTAGAAGTAAATCTGCCTTAGCAAACATTCCATTAACTTCTGCTTCGTTCATTGAATGAAGAAGACCTTCTTCTTCAAGGGTGTCATATGCAGTCACAATAGTCATACTTTGTGAAAAACTACCTGTAGATTAAAATGGTTTCATAAGATTGATACTTTATTTACACATATATATATTATTTATAATTTACAAATATTAGCAATATTTACCATGAGTTACAAGCATCCAATTGGCACTAATATATATATTAATAATAATAAGAAATTTAGTGTCATATATAATATAAATGTGTATATATATATATAATAATAAAATAAACAAAATTTTTCATTACCTTGTAGAAGCAAAGATTGTAATTTTAGATCCTTTATTTAAACCCGATTTTATCAGACCGGCTCCAATAGTTCTGATTTCTTGATCTATATCGTTATAAGTCAACCAATTGTAACCGGATAATTGAAAATACTTCCAAGCTTTCAATTCTTTTTTTTCAACTCCAACAATTTTTGCGATTTCTTTTTCAACTATCTTTTCAATTTTTCTATAACCAAAAGCATTCTTCCTATCACCATATTTTTTAACACATCGTAAAGAGTTTCAACACCTTCGGGTGAATCAATCAATTTATCAGGACTTAAGTGAGAACGACAAATGCGACTTTCACCTTCAACCTTAGTACCAATTTCAACGCTCATGTTTTTAAAGGTTTGGTTTTTATTTATTATTCAATAAAGAAATAAATTTAAACACGAATCCAAAATACAAATAAATCATATAATGAAATGTGGTTAACAGCCACATGGAGGTGATCCGCAGCTTTATGCGTGAAAATGTGAAATTCAAATTAGCCAATCAAAATTTTTCAATTCACATCAACAAACGTTTATGATTGTGGTGTTCGATGGCGGTTGATCATCAAACATATGTTACATCAATATAACAAATTATTATGTGCAGATTTTTTTAGTATCTTTATCATATATTTCAATACATTGTAAATGTTGACAACAAAATTCAACTAACAATATATTTT